TCCAGGCTGGCCTCAAACCTGTGATTTTCCTGCCTCAGATTCCCAAGTCACTGGGATTAGAGATGTGGCTTGAAAGAGGCTTATTTTTTAAAAAAATTAAAACCATTTTTATTTTTGGAACTGGGGATTGAGCCCAGGGGCGCTTAACCACTGAGCCACATCCCAGGCAGTTTTTTTAAATATTTAGACAGGGTCTTGCTAAGTTGCTGAGGCTGGCTTTGAACTCATGATCCTCTTGCTTCAGCCTCCTGAGTTGCTAGGAGTCCAGGTGTGTACCCCTGCACCTGGCTGAAGGGGGCTTCTTGGGGAGACCCCCACGTCCCAGAAGCACTGCTACACACCCTCCCCCAGAAGGCGCAGCAGCTGGTGCAGTGCAACTGTGGGCTGGCTCATCCTGTCCCTGGTGAGTGACGATTTGCAGGGCCGTCCAGAGCCAACCTTGAGGCCAGCGTGGCCTAGGGTGTGCTCATTCCCTTAGCATCCTTGGCTAAATCTGGCAAGAGCTGTCGAGAACACAATGCCAAGGATCACACACCCTGACCCAGAGGCGGCTGCTAGTGGGGGGCGGGCAGCAGCCCGGATGCCGCCTCTAAGATATGCCAGGTGCATGTGGGAAGGGCTGGGTGAGGCTCGCTGGCCTGGGAGACTTAGAGAACCCTGCTTCCCTTCACTCCAAAGAACTGCGTGTTCTCTCCTGATTCCTTCTCGCCCTGCCCCTCTCTCCCCCACATGGAGTACCCTGAAGCCTGAGGCTCGGCTGGGCCGGGGATGGGCCCTACAGCAGCAGAGGGCAGCACAGTCTGTGGAGCGGCCCTCGACCTCCTGGCCAGAGGCCGGCTGCCCCAGGCCAGCACAGGAGGAAGGAGAGCCTCTCTTCAGATGGTTCCAGTGAGGCTGCTGGGCAGGGGACAGACGGGGCCACTTGGAAATACACTCGTCTAAGAGCTCCAGGCCTGGGTGCTTCCTCCCCTTCCCCCAGCCCCTCGCCTTGTCTGTCCTTGGGTGCCCTCTGCAGAGCTGCCCGCCCTGCTCTGTGCCCATAACGCCCGCCCCTCCTGCAAGTGCTCCCACAGCACAAGCAGCAGCCGCACACAGGCCACTCTCCCGGGGAGACTGCACCCTGCAGAGCAAGCTCCAGGTGCCATCTTCCCTGTCCCCAGGGCCTGTGCCCTGGAGGAACAGCCCACTGAGAGCACCCTCCAGATAGGCTGGCACCGGAACACTCAGACACTCTCTCCAGTGTGCCAGGGCGACTGTCCCTGGGGCCTGTGTGCACGGGCCACCCCACAGTGGCAAGTCCCCCATGACCCATTAGCTTCCATCTGCACAGGAGCCTCAGTAGCATCCCTAGCTCCATGGCAACCGCGAGCTGCAGGCCTGGGGCACCTGGGCTTGAGTGTGTGCAACTCTACCAAAGTGAAGCCAGCCTGCGGGGCATGGTGACGATGCGCACCTCCAGTGACAGCTACAGGTACTCAGAGGCTGAGGCAAGAGGATGGAAAGTTCAAGGCCAGCCTTGACAACTTAGCAAGATGTCTCAAAAATTTTCTTAAAAAGGGTCCAGGGATATTACTCTATAGCTCAATGATAGAGAGCTCGCCTTGCATGTGCGAGGCCTGGGTTCACCCAGTACCAAAAACAAAACAACACAAAAGACACAGCTGCTGGTGGCCCAGGGCTGGCTCTGGTTGGGGGCAGGGCAGAACACCCTGGATCCAGGTTGTGGAATCCTAACTGGGAGGAAGGGCCCCTCCTGCTGGCCGTGGCCATCAGACTGGACCTGAATTTGCTGGTGTGGGCAGGGGATCAACACAGAGTACCCAAAGCCAAGTGGCAGCAGCTCAGAGGATCTTAATCTAGAACTTTCCTTGGCTGTAGGAATCCTGGCTGCCCACAGCTCAATCCGGGTGGTCATAAGCAAAGGGATGAAGAGGCCACGTGGGGAGCACGTGGGGAGCCAGTCTGGGAGAAGTCAAGGCCAGGGGTGGGCCCTCAGACACACCTGCCTCGGCTGCTGAAAGCAGATCCCCAAAATGGACAGCGTGCAGGAAGGGCAGCCCACCTCTGTCCCAAGGCAGGCCAGCCTGAGTGGGCCACAGGACTGCCCTGAGAGCAGGTGGCTGGGCTTGAGAGCCCCGAGGATTCATTAGGGAACTTCCTTGGCCTCCGGGGGATGGGGCCTGGGGGAAGTTTTGGAACCAGACAGCCCTGGGCTCCCAACCGAGTGACACCAGACATCAGCTGCCTGGCCTGACCCAGTCTCTCAGTGCCTCAGTTGCCCTCTGACCAGATTATGTCAGACTGAGGCAGAGGCGGTCCCTGTCTGTAAGCTTCACTTCTGGGCCAGCTCTGCCTGCGGTCTGTCCCTTGACCACAGGGCTCTGAGGCCATGCCTGACTGATGGACGCATGCCTCTCCTCCCCGTGTGCCCACCACCGCGCCAGGTTCAGGGGTCCTGAAAGTCCCTCTCCTGACAGAGGCCCTGCCTGCAGGGGACCAGGGCAGGGCCGGGCCACTCACTCTTTCCGTTGGTCAGCCAGCGAGCTGCCCCGAGTCAGCGCAAACATGTCAAACTCGTCCTCCAGGCGGCCTGGGGCATCCAGAGACTGAAGGCCAGTCCTCACGCTGCTGGTGCCCAGGTCTACAGGGACAGAAAGGCCACAGGAGGCATCCACCTGTTACCCCTGGGCTTCCCTGCCAGGCCCGGGGTGTGGTACTGGGCAGGTGGAGGGGCAGGTGGGGTGGGGAGCAGGCCACGGCCGGCCGCTGTCTGCTCCTGTCCGAGGTGCAGCAGGTGCAGCACGTCACTCCCTGGGAGCTGCAATGAGGGTCAGGCAACAGGGGAGGGGCCGCCCCCTACATCTGCCGGAGGAGGTGGGGGCAGGGCAGACTGGCTTTTCCAACAAGTATTTCTGGGTGCTTCGGGTGGGGTCTGAATGACTTCCTGGACTTGGTATGAAGCAGACAGTCAAGAGCATTCAAACCAACCCCATGGCTGGGGTGGGGCTCAGTGGCAGAGCGCCTGCCTAGCATGTGTGAGGCACTGGGTTTGATTCTCAGTATCGCATATAAGTAAATGAATAAAATTAAACAAACAATCCCTGTGACAGTGATGACGATGCCACCATTTACCAAGAGTGGTGGGGCTGCGGTGTAGCTCAGCGGCAGAGCAGGTGCCTAGCACGTGACAGTCCTGGGTTCCATCTGCAGTTCCACACACAAACCCAGAGTGCCCTCCAGGCCTGGCACTGGCCTGAGCCTGCGTCAGCTGTGAGCTTGTCCCATCCTCCTCCTGACCCAGGAGGAGGGCCCAGCTCCCTCCTACTCGTCACCAAGAGGCAAGGAGAGGCACAGCGAGTCCAAGTCACTCACCTAAACGCACCCAGAAGACTTAGGCCCTGGGGGAGGCATCAGTGCAGAGGGACACTCACGCAGCAGTGGGGTCTCTGACAAGCAGGGCCCAGGGCCTGGGGGACCCCTGGGGCAGCCCCAGTGTTTTTTTCCTGAGTGCCAGCCTTGCCATAAGAGCTGGCTTGGGACCTGGTTTGGAGGGACACCGTCTGATGCTGGTGACAATGGAAGCGCCCAGGACAACCAGGCTGCTATGGCACCGTGAGGTGCCCTCGCTGAGCCCCCCGCGGTACTTACTCATTCCTGCCAGCTGGGATGAGAGGTTGCCGGTGGCCACAGGGTCAGGGCCCATGTCGATCAGGTCAGCGGCCGGCTCAGCCTCACTAGGGGCCTGGGGGAGGAGAGGCCCAGTGTCCTCCCGGCCTGCAGCCCCGCTCCCTTCTCCTGAAGCGCTGGCCCGCACTCTCGGCCCCCAGGCTCTGACTGGGAGTCAGGGGGCTTCTCCCCTCCACTCGGGCCCCTGCTCAGGGAAGGCCCTGGGCACCAGCTGGTGGCAGAGCTCCATTTGCCATGAAGGGGCAGGGCCGTAAGTTAGGAGACCTCCCTGGGAGCCCGGGGGCAGCTCCATCCTGCCTGGGGTGCTGGGGGAGGCCTCCTCCTCCCATGAACGCACTCGCTCGAGTCGCAGCAAACACGACTTTTACCTTGGCATTTTGTCCTGTTCGGAACCGTTCAAACCTACAAGACAGAGAAGACCCCAGTCAAGGGGACGGACAGACAGACACAGCTCCAGAGGAGCTCTGCAAACCGTGGGTCTCAACGACTCAGTGGGTCCACCTCAGGGAGCGCCTGCAGTCTGTGCTTGCTGTCAGCCGGGCCCCTCCTCCATTTGCTAAAGTGTCCCAATTTAAATGGCAGCCATAAGGCCACCTCAGTCACGACCAGCAGCCAACAAGCATGGCTAGAACAGAGGAAGGGACGGGGGCACTGCCCTGGGACACCGTCTCCTCCTCTCACATGCCTGTGTGCGCTGGGCTTGCTGCGGTGGTGTGGGAAAGGTCTGGGCCTGCCTTATGGAGCCACCGAGGGGCTGAGGAGTGGAGTGGAGGGAGTGGCTTGGGGACACGGGAAGTGGCATCACTTCTGAACTCCTGTCCCCTCGCCTAGTGTCTGGGCACCTGCCTCCTAGCTGGGGTTGGGGGTGCGGAGAGGACACTGACTAGAAGCAGCTGAGAACAGAAAGCACTGCACAGGAGAGGCCTGGGGACTGGTGTCGGGGGCCACCGCACAGCCCACAGCCTGAAATGCGGGAGAGGCCCTGCATTCCCGGGGGCCTTGGAGCAAGAGAGGTGGGCAGGCGGGGCCGTGGGGCCATTTCAAGTTAGATGGGGCCGGAGGAGGCTGGGTGGCCAGCATCAGGCACCAGGCGCAGGTGTGTGGAGGTCTCCAGGCACTGGCCCATGGACTCAGTCACCACCAGCTGCCACAGATGTGACAAGTGGAGGGCCACCACCTCTCGGGCCCTGCGGCCCTGTCCTCTTCCACAGCAGCAACTGAACGCTCTTTTGGAGAGCTGTGCTCCCCATCTCATGTGATCCTGATGGCCTGTCACTGAGAGGCTTTTCCCCTCCCCATCTGGTGGGACAATGAAGCTGAGCCAGTCTTGGGGCTTCGGAAGCTTGATGAGTGTTGGGGGCTGTCACATTTACTGACGGTGGCACCCGGGACATGGTCCAGGAATCTGTGTCCCCACCTTGACCTCAGACCCCAGAGCTACCCAGGGGCAGCTGTTTACTGGCAGCTTCACTGTCTTGCTCTTCTTTGGATTCTGAAAACTACTTATTTAATAAAGCCTAGAAAATTCTTTCCGAGCTTCTCCAGGAAGTCCCTGAGTAGCCTGCAGCAGGCCTAATTAAGCCGAGTCATTGTCCACGGGCCCAGGGGCTGGAGGTGCGCAGCGGGCAGGGACAGGCCAGACCACCACAGCTGCAGGGCCCATGCACTTGCCCCGCCTGCCCAGCCCCCCGAGTGGATCCTTGCAGGCTGCAGGCCGCTCCAGGAAGGGGCTGAGGGCGTGGAAGGGCGGCTTTCAGGCCCTGGGGAGGGGGCACTACCGTTCGTGGCGCAGGAACACGTTGTTGAGATTGTCGTTCACAATGAGCAGCTCCTCGGTCAGCTGCTCGTTGGCGATGCGCGGGATGAGCTCCAGGACCCTCTGCTGCATGGCCCGGCACGTCCGATGAAGCTCCTGCAGGGGCGGAAGTGAGACACATGGTCACTCGGCCCAGCAAGGCCATCCCTCGTGGACAGCGCACCAGCCCTGGCCTGGCCTGGCAGGAGGGAGTGGTTTCCAGGGGATGGCTCTTGGTTCTACAAACAGGAATGCACGCTTCACTTCCTGGTTTCTTTACCAAAATTTTAATTGGTCTTGAGATGGGGCCTTGCTACTTTACCCAGGCTGCCCTGAACGCTGGGTCCAAGTGATCCTTCTGCCTCAGCCTCCCCAGCAGTTGGCACTATCGCCACTTGCCACCTTGCCTGGCTTTACCTTAAAATTCAAAGCTCAGGCGATCCCAACACGCTAACTGCTGCCGGTTTAACCTGGTGTGTGCAGGGTCCAGAAGGAAGTTTCTCCCACCATCTTTGCTTAAAACAAAACTCAAGACTGTTTGGGGGCACAAGAGTGATGGCTGAACACAGTGTCACCACTTCTTTGGGTGTAGAAAAAATACAATTTGACTCTAGCCGTTTTCCACATGTGCTGATCAAGACTCTTTGCCCCACTATCTTCACTAATTTTTTAACTTGGGATGATTTCAGATTTCCAGCACTGCAGAGAGCGCGAGAGCTCCTGTGCCCGGCACCCCAGCTGGACACCTGTAAGAACAAGGTGGTGACACTGGGTGGGGCTGCCAACTCGGCCGCGTGCTGGGGCCAGTGTTCCACACTGCACTGGGTGGCACGTCCCTACTTTCCTTGCGAGTGTCTGGTTTAAACTTACTTGGGGAAAAATAAAGAAATGAAAGCCCCTAGCTTTGTAGGTTTGACTTGCAGGACTGTCTGTTCTCTGCCCAGGTACCTGCCGCCAGGTGAGCAGGGGCCTCGGTCGTGAAGTGGGGGTGCAGAGAGCCGTGGGGTGTGGCTGATGTGCACTTTCTCTTGGGGCAGCAGGACCAGGGCCGCTTGCGTGTTGGTTTCGGCTCCTGTGCACCCCGACACCCACCCTCCCCGGCCGGGCCTCCAGGGACTCCTCCTCAGCACTAGCACAGGCAAGGGCATCTAAGGTGGCCGTCAACATCCGGGGCCTCTGTCTTCCCTCCGTGACCAAGCTCCGTGGCCTGGTTTCCGTAGTACGTTCTGAGTGAACACAGGGCTACCTATTTAATACAGCCTAGAAAATTCTAGAGAATTCTTTTCTGGGCTTCTCCAGGAAGGCCCTGTGTAGACTACAGCAGGCCTAATTAAGCCGAGTCATTGTCCACAGGCCCCGGGACTGGAGGTGTGCAGCGGGCAGGGACAGGCCAGACCAGTGGGCAGGAAGCAGAGGGGCTGGGAGGCAGCACAGTGGTGGAGCCGGCCTCCATGAGTGGAGCCCTGGGTTCTACCCTCAGCACCATACTAAAAATAAAATAAAATAAAATAAAATAAAGGTATTGTGCCCATCTACAACTAAAAATAAATGTCCTCACAGATCCTGGGACACAGGAGCCAGGCCCCAACGTGTGGGAGCCGTTACTGTGTCTGCCTGGCCAGCTTCTCCCTCCTGAAGCCCCTGGACCACTCGTAGCTACCTTGGCTGGGGACACATGAGCTAGCTGCGTGCAGGCCCTTCACCCAGCCCTCAAGTCCAGGCGTCCAGCCAACTCCAACGCTCTCCCACTCCTACAGGGAAGGACTCCTGAGCAAGTCACCTCCTTAGGCACAGGGACAAGAGAGTGACGCAGGTCAGACAAGCACTGAGCGCTCTGTCCCCTCACAGATTCTGCTGACTCCTGGGCCTTGGAGGTCCCCAGCCTGCTTGGTGCTCCTATGAACTGACTTCCACAGGGAGGGGGCCTCTCCCAGACACAGCCCTCTGTCCAGTGGCACACTGGCTCATGCCATGCAGCAGTGACCCTCAGTGCTCCCACCTGCCTGGGCCCCCGAGACCCATCTCATCTCAAAGTCCACATGACCCCGCTAAGACGCCCGTCCTAAGCAGTGGCTGAAACCTTCCAGCTCATCCCAGGGCCACCAGGGGGCTGGCTGTGGACACGGGGCTGGCGGTTCCATGCAATTCCTCCCTTAAGGCTCACATCCAGCCTGTACCAGAAAGGCTACTGTGGCACCTGATAGAGAGGAAACCGAGATAAGAGGGGTTCTTTGGTCCAACAGAAGGGACAGAACTGAGGTCTGAGCTCCCATCTGAGCAGTCCAGAGCCCCTGCTGTCACATACCTCTGTGACCTGGAGGTTCCCAGCAAGCCAGGAAGGTTACAGCGTGGTCTGGGAAGGAATGTGGGTGGGCAAAGGGGCAAGGGGCACCTGGGCAGGGCCCTGGCTCACCTGCAGCAGCTCCAGGTCTGCAGGCTCTGCCTGGGTGGGCACCAGCTCCGTCAGCATCTCTGACATCACCCTCACGTTCCCACTCACCATCTCCAGCTCGCTACGCAGCTTCCCGATCTGAAACCCATGGCCGGGAGTGAGGGAGCAGGGTCTGCAGCCCCTGGCGCCCGGGTGTGACACTGAGGAGTGGCCTGCTTGGCTGGCCCCCTCCCCAGGCAGCCTCGCTCCTGGCTCCCGAGACACAGCCCAGCCTCAGGACCTGTGGTGGGCTTGTCCCCCAGCCCCAGGGCCCCACACAGGGGCATTACCAACCGTTGCCATCTCCAAACCCAGGAGCCAGGTCTGGAAGGCAGAAGTGGAAAGGTGCAGGCTGCAGGGAGAGAGGCGCCATGTGGCAGCAGTGCGCCAGCCTCTCCTGGGCCCGAGGTGGAGCTAACAAGGCCCTGGGGATGGGGGCTCCTCAGGGAGGGGACAGGCTGCAGGCCCTCTCTCTCCAGGGAGAGCTGGGGCTTTGTCTCTCTCTCTCCTAGGAGGATGGGGACTTTGTCCCCTACTCCTTCCTGGGGGACTGGGATTTCTTTCTTGACCTTGGTCTGCTTTAGTGTCCCATGTGCCACCACCTTGAGCTTAAAACTCAGCTGTAGCAGTTGTCTCAATGACCAAAGGGAGCCAAGGGCTTGGGCTTGGGGGACAGCGTGACAGTAGGCTGAGGTGCACAGCGAGGTGTCTTCCGTGGCGGGACCTGGGCATTCTGTGCTCACAGAGGTTTGTACACTGATCACCCCCATGAGACCTGACTGCAGAAGCCCTTGCTCACACATCGGCTCCTGGCTCCGGTAGCCACAAGACTACATCCTGAGAAATGCTAATGGACTCTGAATAGTGTGACCACGTCACAGTTGTCTTCAGGATATGAATGCCACCAGGGAAATTCACGACTGTGATAGCGCCCGCCATTCATGGGCTGCTTCATAGGAGCTAGCATACGGGTTGCTGGCTTAACCTTGGCCACAGGTAGATGGCCTCCCACGTCCCAGCTTTCACAGACCAGGGACAGTCAGAGCCCCCGCTCTGTTCACAACACCTGAAACCTTTGAACCAGCGCCGTGGTGCGAGAGCCGGAACGCGACACATCCAAACCACAGGGTCCTGACCGCAGGAGCCTGGGGGTCACCCACCACACTCCTGACGCCATCACACGTGCCAGGGGACAAAAGCAGACTGTGAAGCTAAGCGAGAACCTCTCAGCGCTGCTTTGCGAGGACCCTTTGGTACTTGGAGGTCACCAGTCTTAACCTATGAGCTGCTGGACTGCAGGCAAGCTGCTCGAGGCCACAGCCAGGCGGGTGATTTTTGTTTAGAGGTCGTTTTACACTTTTTCTATGCCTTGAATTATTTTGTCCAGTTGGCAAAACTTTTCTGGAGGTATCTATGACCTGGGGTGATTTCACTCTGGCCAGGAGATAACAAGGCGGAGGTTTCATCAGCTGACTCTGGAAAGGGCTGCTGGGGGCTGGTCTGCCTACCTGCTCCGGGGTTGGTGTGATGGGCGCATCGCTGGGCAGTAAGGCTGGGGTGGGCACAGGGGTGCTGTGCTGGCTCAGGTCCCCTCGCTGACCGCTGTCAGAGCCCAGGGAATTCTGTCCTGATGATGTCTCTGAATTGAACACGGTCTAGGGGCAAAAGACAGTTGAGCAGGGCCTCCCGGGAAGGCCAGGCCACAGCAGGACCTGGGGGTGAGCCTGCCCTGCCCAGAATTTCAACGTGGGGATCCCCCTCACCCTCTGGGGCGTGTGGATGGGTGACAGCATGTCCAGGTCGGTCATGGGGAACTCCAGGCCCTTTCTCCGCAGGTCCTCATAGACGGCGACGACACCTGTCAAATCCGGGGAGCTGCGGAACGCGTCAGCCCAGGACTGAGAGGCGACAAGGGGACATGGCCAGTGACCACTGCTCACCTTCTTCCCTGTGAGCCCACCCCCCTGGCGCCCCGGAGGGACCAGAGGCCCTTTCCCCGACTTGCCAGTCCTCTCATTACCACGTGCAGCCAGCGAGGGACAGAGTGACCAGGCTCGCCACACCCACTTCCACACCATCTCCCCAAGGCAAGCAGGGCCTGGTACCGCCCCCACCCCAGCCTGGGGCGAGCGGGACTCGGGAAGGACCCCCCCCAGGCTCACCTGGATGAGGCTCAGCACCTTGTCGTGCACGATGGTGGGCGGGTTGTTCCTGGGCAGGATGGTCCTCACCAACACACTCTCCACGAAGTCCTGGCTGGCCACCAGCACGTGGAAGCGGTGCCCGCAGTTCTTCACACAGGTTTCCAAGACCTGAGGGCAAGAGGTGCCCCGGTGTGCCCCAGTCAGAGGAAGGGAAGTGCCCAGCCTCCCTCCAGGCTCCTCCTGTGTCCCAGGTGGGAGGTGGGGCAGAAGAGAGGGGACTTCCTAAGGTGCGCCGCGCCCGGGATTGTGGAAAACGGGGGGGCCACGCCAGTACTCGAGCTGCCTCCGGGGCGGGGATGCGCAGGGGCTGGCGTGCTGGCTGCAGCCCCCCTCCACGGGTCAGTGTCCCCTGGATCCTGATGCTGGTCCTCAGCTGAACTGTCTAGAGGGGAGGCGGCTCTCCACGGGGAAACAACCTGGGGGGGCTGGGACAGAGCGTGCTCCTTCCTACACCCAGCCTAATCCCCCTGGAGCCAGGACACCCACTTGTGCCCACCCCTTCTGGTGCCTGGATGGGCTCAGGACGGTGGGCAAACCTGTTCTCAGCCCCTGGCACTGCCCTGGGTTCATTTTTTGGGGTGGCAAAGAGCCAGGTGACACCTAATTTCCTGCCACACCGGCTCCCTGGGCCTGGGTTTCCTAAGCGCCTGTAGGTTCTCGGTGCCAGTGGCTCGAGGGTGAGGTGGCCTCTGTCTGCTCCCACATCACCATCACTTTGCCCTCCAAAGAGGAGCCCAAGGGTGGACCGTCTGCTGGGCCTGAGGGGAAGTGGCCTTTAGCAGACTGTGATCCTGTCGTGTAGTCGATGGAGGGGAGGACAGATGGACAGACAGACGGGGCACTCACCGTGAGAGCCAGCATCACCTCGTGGAAGTTCTTGTTCCCCACGATTCTCTTCTTCACTGCGCGGAAGGCATCTTTGGGGCTGAGCAGAAGGAAGAAAGAGGCTCAGGCAGAGGACCCCTTCCTCACGGAGGCGGCGCACCTCAGTCCAGGGGGCCCTGAGACGGCCTCGGTGCTCCTCCTCCCTGAGCTGTGTCCAGATGGGCTGCTCAGCAGGGCTCCCCATGAGGGGCCCAGGCCTCCTGCTGGACGCTCCCTCTGGGGAGAGGTGCAAGCGCTTGTCCAGAGGCAGAACCACAGGCCTCCCCTGCAGCCTGAGCCTGGTCTGCACTGCACCCTGCCCCGCTGCATCTTCCTCACTGAGGCTCATGACCTTTGGGCAGTGTTCTAATGCCCCGGCCTGGCCGGCCCTCTGTCTTCCATCTGGCCTTCAAGTCTGACCAAGCAGGGACCTGCCAGTCAGTGCTGATCCATCAAGGGCGACCCAGGGAGCCTGGAACCCTGGCACAGGTCCTGGGCAGGAGGGAAGGTGTGGGCAAGGCCTCCAGGGCAGACCAGGTGTGGGGCGAGCTGGGCCAGGGCCAGTGGACAGGACAGGGCAGGGAGGGAGGGAGGGCCTGGCCCAGCAGTTCCATGCAGTGCACCCTGGGTAGCTTCCTGCCCTTCCTGGGCCCTTGTGTGCCCACTGCTATACTCTGGGTGTGGAATGACCCCAGAGGCCCATGTATTAAGGCTTGGTCCGAGGGGTGCTATTGGGAAGCTGCAGAAGCTTTGAGAGGTGGGCTTAGTGGGAGATCTGCAGGTCACTGGGGTGGGTCCCTGGTCTCCTTCTCACTCTTCTTTTGCTTTTAGGCCATGAGGTGAGCGGTTCTGCTCGGCTCTGGACTCCTGCCACCACGGGCTTGCCTCGCCAAGGCCTAGAGTAACCCCAGAACTGTGAGTTGAAATGAAGATTTTCTCTTAATAAGCTGATTATCTCGGGTCCTTTGTTATAGTGATGGAAGCTGACTGGCACAGGGGCCGCTCTGGGGGCCACTCCAGGCTCCAGAGGGACTTGTCTCTGCTTCTCACAGCATGGCTGGAGGAAAGGGCAGTGAGCGCATGCTGTGCACCTGGGTGTCCAGCACCCTGCTGGGAGCCAGGTGGATGACAAGGAGGGCACAACCCAAAGGAGAGACTGTGGCGATATCACTGAGAATGGCTGCCTTCGCTCACAGCCGGCCCTGAGCCTGCTGCCGTCCTGGGGTCAGCAGGGAGATGGAGCTTGCTGTCTCCAAGGACACGGCAGTGACCTCCAGCATCACATCCACAGGGCGCCAGCCTTTCCGGAGGCTCCAGAGGCCTTCTGCCTGCCTTCTCTTCTGGTCCTGCCCTCTGCCCACCATCCCCCCACTTCACTTTGACGGGCCTCGAGACAAAGTGAGCATCAAGCCACGGACACGGACACTGGAGGGACCCAGCAGCCTCTGCCTCTCCTGACGGGCCTCCACTCTGGGCCCTCTCCATGCACAGCGCGCCTGGCTGAGAAGCTCTGTGCGCTAGCTGAGGGGTCACTAGGTCACCCCAGTAAGAACCAGAGAGGGACATGCCGACTCACTGAACGCAGGACGCACCTGGCTGCCTTCCTGCGGCCACCACACCCCTCCCCGCCTGTCCCTGCAGGGCTTTCCTGAGGACAGTGACCCCTTCCTGCTCCCCTCAGGGACTTGGGCTACCGTTGGAAGGATCTAGAAGAGCTTTGCAACAGAGGACAAAGACCTGGAGAGTGACGGGGCTTGTCCAAGGTCACGTCACACAGCTGGCTGGCAAACACTAGTCAGAGGAGAGCAGCTGAGACTCTGACGCCTCACATCATGTCCCCTGGCAGGGCTCCACAGCACGGGAACACCACGCCCGCTGCCCGACTGCCGGCAAGCGCCGCTTGGACCTGCCCTGCTGTGTCCAGAGCTCAGGGAAGTGAACGTGTGGCCCGCGTGCGCTCTTGCTCAGAGGGAGCCCGCTGTCCCTGACGCATAGCCCACCCCTCAGGCCACTTCCTCCTCGCCCTGGGAGCCTCCAGCTGCCCTTGTCCAGGGAGCTGCTGCAGCGTGGAGAGGCAGTGTGGGTGGCAGCATGCAGGGACCTGCTGTGACACGGGGCTTTGAACCTCTTGATGCCTCTCAGCCCCCAATAAAGGGACTGGCCTGGATCATGGTCCAAACATGTTTGAAATGCCACATGGTCACCCAGGTGGGTTCAGAGGACTTGGCAGCCCCTCCACAACAGGGCCATGAGCTGGTGAGGGGCTGGGCGGGGCTGGCAGGGATGCAGGTGTGGGTCCAGCGGGTGTGGACTTCCTGTGGCTGGCCCTCCCGCCTGAGGGTCCTTAGCCCTCCGAGGGTCCTTACCCCTCCTCGGTCTCATTGATGATGTCGCAGATCTCCATGTTGAGGGCCCAGTCCTCGCCCTGCAGGGAGCCGTCTGTAGCCTTCTCTGGGGAGGAAGCAGCCACAGGTCACAGGTGTGCGAGGGCCCGAGTGGGCAAATGGGAAGAATGGGGTGAGGAGGGAGGGGAACACGAGGCAGACCCTTCGGGCCCTTAAGATGGGCCAGCTTGACACACTTAGCCCAGTTGTCATTTGACTCTTGTGGTGGCCACCTGGGGCTGGGAGCACCCCTGCCCTTTAGCAGAAGAGAGGAAACCGTGGCCCAGAGTCTGCCACGTGGATGAGCAAGGCCAGGAATCTAGGGGGCCTGGTCTCAGACTGCTTGTCTTTGACATGGTGACAGGGCCAGTATTCCTGATTTTGTAGAGTCCCCTCTTGACTGTATGTCGTTGGAGTTGGGAACCATTCATGAGGTTCAAAATGTAGAAATTTCCAGATCAGCATATAATGGAGAGTAGATCTCTGTGTCCCTGCCCCAGCCCCCCACTTCCTAGGGGGACTCACTGTGACCAGCTTCCTCTGCAATCTCCCAGGGACCTTCTTTATATAGGAATCGAGGACGGCACTACCAACAGGTGACCCGTCCTGTCCCCTTTCAAGCCACAGTTTCTGCCCACCGATCAGGCTAATGAAGAATTGCACTGGGACACAGTGGTGGCAAGATGCACAGAGACACTGCCCTGCGGGCCCAAGACTGGCCCAAGAACGTTCTCAACCAGTCTGTCGAGGACCAGGAGGGCACCTTGGAGGGCAGGCTCATCTTTCAGGACATGCCCATGCTGGGCTGGGGACACTCCTGCTCTCAAACTGGGCCTTCCCAGACTCTGGTTTTGAAACCGACCTGACCTCAGTGCCACCCTTGGGTCCTGCAGCCAGACAGATGGCTAGTGGCCCAGAACATGGTCAAGTGGCAGAGGCGGAAGGGCGTTAGCGCTCCCCTGGACCATGGCCAGGGGCAGGGATGATGAAGGGCTCCTTTTTTTAATATTTATTTTTTTTTAGGTGTAGATGGACACAACACAATGCCTTTATTTTTTATGTGGTGCTGAGGATCGAACCCGGGTCCCGCCTGTGCTAGGCGAGCGCTCTTCAATCCCAGTCCTGAAGGGCTCCTTTGAAAGGGCTGACAGACGGACTTGTGCTTCCCACAACTGTTTACTGAGGGTGGCTTTTATGTGCCACACTCGCCACCTTGAGGACTCACACACTGACAGCCACACGGAGGATCCAAAGGTGCTGAGTGTCCCTTGGAGCAGAGGGTCCCACCTGCTGCAGGAGGGGCAGTGGACATTCACACACGACACCATCACGTCCCAAACCATGATGCTGTGTCCCCAGGAGAGGAGAGTGGCCATCATGTTCAGGGCGTGCCTGGGGGGTTGGTTGGTTTGGATGTGAGGTGACCTCCAGAAGCTCAGTGTGAGACAACGCAAGAAGGTTCAGAGGACCAATGATGGCGTGGTGACAGCCTTAACCCAGTCAGTGCCTTCATCCCCTGACAGGAATGGCTGAGTGGCAACTGAGGCTGGTGGGGTGTGGCTGGAGGAGGAGGGCACTGGCAGCTGGCTTTGGGGAAGATACTTTGATTCTGTGAGTGGAGACCCCTCTCTCTGCTCCCTGACCGTCACGTGAGCTGCTTCCCTCTGCACTCTCTTCCACCGTCACGTTCAGCCTCCCCTCAGACCCAGGGGAGTGAGCCTGCTCTCTGTGGACTGAGACCTCTGAGACCAGGAGCCCCCAAATTAAGTTCTCCTTTAAAGTCGTTCTGGTCTTGGGGCCCGGGTGTGGCTCAGCGGCAGAGTGCTTGATTAGCACGTGCGAGGCCCTGGGTTCAAACCAGGTACAAATAAAGATATTGTGTCCATCTACAACTAATGTTTTTAAACAATTGCTCTGGTTGGGTCTTTTAATCACAGCAGTGAAAACGCTGACTAAACAGGGGCTTTCACAGGCTCGACTGGGGGACCACTAGAGGCCGGCAGGGAGCCAGGGTCAAGGGAGGGCTTGTGTCCCACAGGCCATGCCCAGCGGCCCTCCAGTCCCATGGATCAGAAATCGTGGAGTCACCCCTAACTCCAGGCTTGCGAGCCTGGCCAAGGCCAGCTCCAGTCTCCTTCCGTCACAGCCGTTCCCTTCCTGCTGTCCCCAAGCCGCCCACCTGTGGACAGCTGCCTCCGCCTCTCCCTGCTTCCCGTGGGCTCCAGCCCACCCATTCTCCAGGCTGCCCGAGGGAGCATCCTGGAACGCCCGAGCGCCCACCCTTCCCCGGCCCCCACCTTCCACGGCTCCCTGGTCAGTGTGACCTCCAGGACCTTCCGCGGTGATGACCTCCGCAGTGACCTGCAGCATCACCAGCTGCCCTCGTCTCACCAACCAGGAAACTGGGCGTTCGAGGGTCAGCAGCCTGGAGGCGCGTGGTGGCCTGTCTCTTGCGGGGGGCTGGGAGCTCTGCACGGCCAGCGCTCTGCCCTTCCTGAACCTTTGCTTCCAGTGCCCCCAGCTGAAGCCTCCCGAGACCCCCCAGCACACCCTGAACATGATGACCTCCCTCTTCTTCTGGGGACAGAGAACTGAGGTTTTGGAAGTGTTGGAGTCATTTTGGAAAGACAGCGACTGAAGGAAAAGTGGACATTCCCAGATGAGGGGAACCCCACACAGGAGGCAGCGGGGTGCAGGGGTCCCGGAGCACGAGTCTGGCGCTCCCCAGTGGGCAGAGCCCCTGAGAAGGTGGAGATTCTGGGGGGCTGGTGTGTGGCTCAGTGGCAGAGCCCTTGCCTAGCACATGTGAGGCCCTGGGTTCGATTCTCACCACTGCAGATAGATAGACAGATAGACAAATAAAGTACACTGACAACTGAAAAAAAAGAAGATGGAGATTCTAGCCAGGAGGCTCAGGAGGCCAAGGCAGGAGGACCACGAGTTCAAAGCCAGCCTCAGCGCTTTAGCTGAGCCCTGGGCGCGGACGGCAGGACTGGGCGTGTGGACTACTTTGGCACCAGCAGGCAGGCGTGCCAACCAAGGGCAGAATTCCAACCCACAGGAATCTGAGGCTGTCATGTTTTTGTTTTTAACAGTGACAGTGACCCAGCTATTTTAAGAAGGGGCAATAAAATGAACTGGCTCCTGACCCTGACCTGCTGGCAATGCTTCAAGGACAGATGGGCAGCAGATGCCCTTGTCTCCCAGCACCTGAGGGAGCCAGACCTGCCAACCCATGCCACTGGGCGGCTTGCTGCTGCCCTGGCCTGGCACTCCCTGATTTGGGGTCACGGGGTTTTGGGTCAAGTTAGGGGGGCGAGTCCCAGGTTTGAGTGGGTCTGGCAGCCTGTCCTCTCTGTGGTGGGTCTGGTGCAGACACGTCCCGCTCAGGGGGCTCCAAGTGATCTTCCTAGCTTGAGGGTGACATCCCCTCCCCTCACGACAGTCAGGCCAAGCAGCAGCCCCGACTGCGCGTGCGGCACCAGGCGGAGCGGCCTGCCTGGAGGGAAAGGGCAGCGAGGCGCAGGCGAGGGAGGGCTGTGACAGGCCCAGAGGAGGGAGGAGGCCACCACAGCCATGTGGCACCTGCCTCACTCCGGGAAGCTGCTGGGCACCCGGTCCTGGCCTGCTCCTCCTGAGCTGTGCCAGAATCCCAGGAGACATCCTGTGCTGCCCAGGAGGAGGCCGCCTCTGTGGGAGCTACAGGGAGCCACCGGCCACTCGGCCTTCCTTGCCACCTGGCCACTCCAGCAGTCGCCCGGCCTCTCCCCGCAGGGCTGGCTCTGGATCAGGCCCATCACCTGCCCAGGTGGGACCGCCACCTGCAAGCTCTTTTTCTCGAACATCATCTAATCAGAGCTCCTCTGTTTAAACCCCGTCTACGACCCCCAGCTGCCCAAGGGTCACAGACCTGACCTCTTCAGGGACCACGCTCCCCACCTCCTGGGGCCTGTTCTTCCTCGCCTCGGGCTCTATCCGGACCGCCACCCCTTATGCAGGTGCCAACAGTTCGTTCTCTCTCTCCCTCCCTCTCTCTCTCTCTCTCTCACACACACACACACACACACACACACACACACACACACACGGGCGCTCAGCACACCCATAGACACAGATGCCAAGCTGAGGCTCGGGGGCTGGTCCCACGGCCACAGTTTGTGAGCTGCACAGAGTCTCCCCAAGGGATCCCCCAGGTTCACGTCACGGGTCTCTAGAACTGTGTCCAGGACCCACGGAGACGTGGGGGAGTAAAACCAAAGTGGCCTCACCCTCAGCGCAGATGCGGTCCTCTGGGAGGTGAAGTCACTGTCAGGGAGGGAGGGCAGGTGCTGAGTCAGTGGGAGGCCCGGGAGGCCACAGAGGAAATGAGCGGCCACACCCACCCCAAGGCCTGTGTCAGCTTGTGGGCAGACTGTGTCACTCCTCATCCTGGCCCTGACAACACTGTGAACAATGACAGAATGACTGGCCCCCGCTGAGCCAGTGCCACCACCCTGCACCCCAGCTGCTAGGACGAAGAGGTCTGCTGCTCAGCCGCCCAAGGGCTCCAGGACTCCGCCCGTTGTTCCCCTCCTTGAAGGCTGCCTCCCCCCAACTCTCAGGAGGTGCAGAGGGAGGGTCACCGTGTGGGGAGCGGGACTGAGCCTCCAGGCTGCCCAGGTGCAGTTTGATGTGAGGGCCACCCCGCCCCACCTCCCCCAGGACCGTCGTCCACTGCATTCCACCCACCAACCTCCAGGCAAGGACAGAGTGGGGACGGGGTGTTTAAGGACATCGTGAGCTGTCACACCAACCCCAAAGCCCCAGGCTCCTTGCTAGAACAGGGCAGAGGCTTTCTTGGTACCTGCTGCTGAAAGTGGCCCCGATCACGACTCCTCCGTGTCCACCATGGAAGGCCAGCTGTGCTTACTCTGGCATGGCCCTAAGTGACAGGGCTTCCCTGAAGTTAGGGGGGCGAGGCCCAGGTTTGGGTGGGCCTGGTCCTTCCCCCTGCCTCTTCCCGAGGCTTGGCTTCCCGCCATGCCCGGCCTGCTCAGCCTCCCTCAGGCTCCTGTGCCCTCAACCTGC